TTTAGGAGAGGAATAGAAAGGCATAATGCCTATGTATGTGCATCCGATCACACAAACCGATTTAATGAAATGAACTCCAGGAAATGAAAAAGAGTTGTTTTTTTGCTGGTTTTTCTTTTCTTTTTTGTTCTGTTGGTTTGTTTAGATGTCTTTGGGAGGGTAAGGCGAGGCACAGAAGTGGAGGGACAAAAGGTGAACAAATGCAGCACTGGTACTCACTGCCATTATGTAGAAAATGGAGGAATGGGAGGGGAAAACTGGGAGAGAGTAAGGGATGGAGTAACATTGTCCACAAAGAAATGTACTCCCACCTGACATATGACTGTAGTCCTTCCGTACCTCCCCTATATAATAATAATGACGAATTTGAAAAAGAAATGTCACCCTGTATGGCACTGCAAATAGAGAGCAGATATATAGTCTCATGTCCCCACTGTCTTAGAAAATGGAGTCTGTGTACTTTGAGAAACAAAGAGGGTTCTGGAGGGCTCCCCAAAAGCACGGGAGTTTACCAGGACGCTCTACAGAGAACGGGGAGGGCAGCCTACTCCCCAGCCCGTACAATGTCTCAGAGCACTTACTGCAACCTCACTAAGTTTTGAGAGCTGTTGGTGACCAGGGCGCGGAACGGGTCCCACGGCCCTGCCCTCCAGCTTATCTCTCCCTGTACCAGGACTATGTGGTCTTAACCCAAGTGCCCAGCAGGCTTCCTGGCCATTCACAGTGATTCATTCTCCAAAATAACTTCCAAATAATCCATCAAGTTGAAAGCAGTGTGATGGCTTTGGTAACCGAGACTAACTTGTAATCATAGGTTTCGTAAGAAAGGAGCAGCATGTGAACTACGGGGCCTTCTTAAGAACCAGATTTTAACTCTCATGTGGTTGTCTTATTTTAATCTATCATTTGGGTAGTCTTGAGTAAGCTTCTTTATAGATCCAGAATTTGGTTGCTAGTCATTTATAGTTATGACATCTTACAGTTTCTCTTTTTAAGTTGATTTTAGATTCTTCCATTACATTATATCATGAGTGGCTTTTAACACAGAGAAAGCCACTACCTTTTATACAGATTATATCACTGTCCCACAAACTGAACTCATTTCTTGTGGTTATTTCAGTCATACAATCATAAATCTATAAATCATTTACATCTTTCCCCCTCACCTAACAACACTGACTAATAATTACTTGAATCGTAGGAAATCGCCTAGCCCAAAGTTCACTTTACAGCTGAGATACCATGACCAAATGAGAAGAGTAAAAGTAGCATTACCATGTGAGCCTGGGGGTCGATATCCCTTACTTTTGCAGAACGCTCTCTCAGCGCAGTGAAAAAAATGGTCTTACTTCTTCATTTTCTTCTTCACCATTTCTCTTCTTCCTCTCATGTCAATTTGTTGTTCATACCCAGAAACCAAGAAAGATAATTAGAATTTTAAAATAGACATTTCAGTAGTTTGACCACATAGGTGATATTTTCCATAAAAGCCTTTGATTTTTCTTCCAGAACTTGATTAAGAATTTCAACTGATGCATTAAGTACAGGTTGTAGTTTCTGTTCAAATGTTCTGAGTGATCAGAAAGGAGTTTGTGTCTGGTGAGGAAATGGAGAGAATTTTAATGACAGTATCCAAAACCTAGAGCATCTGTGACCAGACTTCAGCCTTCCCCCCTTCCAGGGTCCAAATGCAGGGTAGTTTGTTCAGGTCAAGATTTCTGTTTAGTTAATCAAAGTCAGAGATAATCCATTTTGAATCTAGAAATGCTGAGAAGTACTACTGCTTTCTCCTATTTTGCTTTCCTTAAAATGTCAGAAATAATTATACTTAATTTATACTTATTTATACTTACAGAATTCGTTCACTTAATTTTTCTCAGTTCCCTTGCAGTCTGCAGCGACTCCTTTCAAAGTTTAGAACTGGAGACTGACTGTGTTCACGCATTGTCTCTCACTGTGGGCGGCAGGCTAGCATCTACCTACACATATGAAGGACCTTTTCCGGAGTCTTGCAGGTCTGGCGTCCACCCTCTTCCCTGTGCTGACCTCATGGCATGGGTGTCTGCCACACTTTCCTGAGCCTGCCCTCCCTGTCCTTCCAGCGGCTCCTGGGACAGGATTCAAATCCACCCCCAGACATAGGCGCCCCACATTGTGTGAAAAGGGCCCATGAAAACCCTGAGTTTGATTGTCTTCATTTCTCCTTGGACAAACATCAGAGATCTCCATTTTACATAAAATGGCACTTCTCGCCCTTCACATGTCCACTGGCCGGGTGCATCTTTCTCCCTCTCCACTCTGAGGCCCTTCCACCACAGCGTTAGTCATACATGGGCTGTGGTTGGTTTTCCCCACCTGCCTTTCCTCCACCATAATCAGCACTTGGAATTTGCTTTAAAGCTTCACATTCCACATCCTACTTATTCTTCAAAGAAGAATCATCCCTTATACTTCTGAACTGCCACTGGGCTTTCTTGTGCACTAAATTAGAAAACTGCACCTATTGTGATCTTTCTTCAATATTGAACTTACCAAGGCTAAAAATTGTTTGAGGACATGGGTTCGGTATAGCTCTGACAAAATCGAGTCACTAACTATGAATGCAACATTGAAAACAAATTGACTTCAACATCTTCTTAGGTAAAGTACAAATGTTAATGCTTTATTTCATTTATTGTGGAATAAAAAGCAGACTTAGGTTGATTACCACAAGTCCTGTTAGCAAATTACCATTAGCCAGGGAGTAGTCTCAGAATATATATAAAAAAATCTACTAGCTAGAAATTATTTGACATATGTTGATCACTAAGATCTTTTTATTCAATGTAATAAATTTCACAACAACCCTACAAAGGAACTGTTTTCATTAACCAACTTTAGTTGTGGGTTTTGGAAAGGAACTTTGAAGAGGTTAATTGTCTTACTCAAAGTTAAGCAACAACCGGTGGCCAAATCCTTTGTTTAACCACTGCCTTACATTCTCTTTTACTTGTTCTGTATTTTAGAGTACTAACTTCTGTCTTTTATTGGAATTATTCATGATCTGAGTGCAGGCTCTGACAGCTGGCACAGGTGAACAGACATTTGCCGAATGACAAGTTCACATGCATTTCACAGCCTTTGAGAGTCCTGGGACCTGACTGCTTCACACACTCTAAAAATAGTTAAAGTAAAATTCATTGCTACAGGTCACCACTTATATCCCAATGTCCTATGAAAACAGAGTGGAGAGATCTCATTGGTAGGAAATATTGACTGCCCCCATGCCAGCCTATAGCACAGCACATTTCTAGGAAGGATCTGCCCACTAAAGGTACCAGGATGCAGGGAGTTTTAAGAGGTAACAGGTCTTCAAGGTCTTCAAGGATGTGGCTGTCTTGGGGTTCAGCACCCCTGTGGGGCATCAGGGCTTAAATGTCTGTGAAGAGGGAAGAGACTTGAGGCCTGTCATGTCCCCAAGTGGAACAAACTCAGAGGAGAGAGGACAGGAGGAGCATGTCCAGGCTCCCACAGAAAGAGATGTGCATTTGCTTATCCGTTAAGAAAGAGGTTAACACAGTTGGACACAAGAGAAGCAGAAATAAACAACAGATAGCTCCTTCATTTCCACCAAGGTCCTTTATGTGTTTTTCTGGCCGGTCAGCTCCCTGCATGGCCTCACTTTGTGTCTATTCGCTGGCCAGCCTGTGCGTCCCGTTCCTGTGTCAGAATGATGCAGATCCCAGGGCTTTCCTGCCGAGAGCAGAGTCCCCCTCAGACAGCATGGTAGTGGGTGAGAAAGCCAACCCGGACCCCAGCTCAGACACGGTAGGAAGTTGCTACCGTGACTTTTGTTTTTCAAGGAGAACCCAGTTCAAGGAGAATCCAAGGATCATGAAAAAAAAGTTAGAACAATGCAAGTATTTCCAGGCTGAAAACAAACTGTCAAAGACCTCCCACTATCAATGAAATGAATGGACCACCCATTCCAACAAATGAAGGTAAGGACTAGAAAAACTACAAATTCATAATAATGCAAATGTGTTTCTAATTCATGAGGACATCGCAAGCCCGCACAGTCCAGGGGCTATCCGTTTTTAAGTACTGGATTAGGTCATGTGAAAACAGACTTTTGATCACATGTATCCAAAATGTGTTGGCCCAGAAGACCTCAAAACTTAGCAGACAGGTAGTTTGCAAATTAAAGCCCCATTGAGCGGTTGTGTCTTCTGTGATGAAGAGAATGGAAACAGGGTGGGAAGTGGAAATTAGCTGTCTCTGTGGAGGGAGCCTTTCCAGGAGGGACATTCTACGAGTCAGAACGGACGAGCGCACCCTCCGAGCTGCAGGATGGTCAAGGACACAGCACGGTGTGTGGACACAGGCTGGCTGAACAAAGGATGGCAGGAAGGACTGTGGGGAAATGGCAATGCTGGGGCCTCTGGCATACATCCCACGGATCGGGGAAACAATTGGCACATGCTCTCCCTTTCAGTGCTCTGTTCTGTAACTGACATAGTCTTTGAGAGGAAGCTCAGGCTAAATGGAGACAGAAGTAAGAGGTAGGTAGAGTGATCAGCACCTTAAGTCAGCTTTCTTTTTACTGGAGCCAGGATTTGGCTGAATGAAGAGGAGAAGAGGGGGAGAATGCAGTCAAGAATTCAATGTGTAGCCCACAAAACTAAGAAGTGTGAGGGAAGGGATAGGGAAAGGATGGATGAAAATGCTGAAAGAGGTGACTTCAATCAAGATATATTCATAAACTGCATTGTTCAATGGCAACTGCTTGGTACAATTACTTAAAGATATTTTTTTTTTTAAAGAAAGGACTCTCATTTAAGATTGTGGTATTTCTATCCCAAAGAGTCCTGATGGAGCCGCATAGCAAATTTTAAACATGTGCAAACACAGATCTATTGCTTCAAGGAATTTATTTGCTATAGAGAAAGACAGTGGAGGTTAAGGACAGGATGGGGGCAGCTCCTGGGGGGTCTCAGACAAAGTGGTCTCTGGCTGGGTGCTCAGCGGCAGCAGAACACGTAGTTCCTATTGCCCTGCCTGCAGATCCCGAACACCTGCCCTCGAGCACCGCAGACGCGCTGTCGGCACCGGCAGTTGAACACCTTCTTAAGGCCTGCGGATACAGAGACACAGGAGGCTTGGGGCACGTGGAGAAGGGCAGCATGGGAAGACACAGGAGGCTCAGGATGGAGGAGAAGGGCAGCATGGGAGACACAGGAGGCTCAGGATGAGCGGATGAGGACAGCATGGGAAGACACAGGAGGCTCAGGGCAGGTGGAGAGGGCAGCATGGGAGACACAGGAGGCTCAGGATGGTGGAGAAGGGCAGCATGGGAGACACAGGAGGCTCAGGATGGTGGAGAAGGGCAGCATGGGAAGACACAGGAGGCTCAGGGCAGGTGGAGAGGGCAGCATGGGAAGACTCAGAAGGCTCAATGTGGGTTGCAGTGTGGACCACCTCACAGCCAGCAATGTGATCTACTGCAGTCAGTGGGAGCCAACATGCTCAGCAAAGCTCAGGGCTAGCGCCCCAGACCCCCACTTTCCCCTGACCCCATGGCCTACCCCCCACAGGCACGGAGAACTCCACTGTAGCAGCCCAGGGCCGGGAAGCTTTTCTCTCAGGCAAGGCAGGATGGTCTCCCTATAGCTATATAAATCCATTTCGCTCTATAATGAGCTACTATGTTCTGTCTACTCTAGTGACTTCCAAAGACACATTTTGGAGCCCAACGGGTCTCAGGCTGGTGACTCTTGCTGCCACTTCTACAAATGAGCACAGCAAGGACAGAGAGGAGCAGCAAGGTCACCTGGGTGGGCCTGGTGGTTCTGGACCTGACTCCAGAGCCGACTCCCGCCTTCCTCTCCAGGCCCCACCGCACTATCTGCCCTCTCTCACCTGCCTTCTGGAGAGCAGAGCCCTCGGTTCCAGTGAAGGACACGGAAATGGTGTCCCCTTCCCCAGGCTGCTCCTGCAATGCTTCTTCCTCCACATTTTCAGGGAGAGTCTGGGCCTGAGCCTGCAGTGCCAGCAGGAGAAGGGCAGCGAGGAGAGCGAGCGTCCTCATGGCTGGCAGTGAGCTGGAGGTGCAGAGCGGGAGCTGAGGGGAGGACAGCATCGCTGTATTTATGGTCGGCCCAGAGCCGCTCCCTGCACGTGATGGGGAGCGATGGCGCGCAGCGCTCAAGGCCCCCTTGATGTTCCTCCATGTGCACTGCTGCCTCCCAGGACTGGTCTGTGTCCAGTGGCGGTCCTCTGATCAAGCTGATAACGCTGAGGATAAAGTCATCACACTTTCTCAATTTTTCATCTATCGGAAGGAAAAGAAACAATGTTTTATTCACTAAGCTCAGGGAACAAAGACCTCTCTTTGGCTGAACATGGAGCCTGCACGTTTGGTCCTGAGAGAGGAAACTGAGGGATGAAGAGGATCAAATGGTATCACATACATATATATTTATAAATTATATGTTCTGTGTGTGTGTGAGAGAATGCATGTGTCTACAGCGTAATAAAACCAGGATATGTTGTTTATAAAAGGAGGAGGAGAGAGTAGAGGAATCGAATCTTGTATGTACAGAAATATCACCATCAAACCCTCTCAAACAGCAAGGGTATGCTAACCCAAAACTGACAAAATATTATTAATTCAGCTATTGACTTTTTAAAGCCTTCAGGATTTTTATTCATGCTCAAGGAAAAATTTTAAATGTAGAGACCATCTCCTCTGCCATCGGAAGCCCCACGCACTCAAAGTTCATGCTTGAGCAAGGCTGTTTTCATCTAGTGCCGTATATTCAACATGGCTGATCAGAATATACAGAACTCTAACATGTTTTCAATCAGCCTATGATGGTCCAAGGTGTGTACCTTTTGTTTTGTAACTACTTACATATTGATAGTCTAAGTTGTTAGAATATGCTTTTCCAAACATTTGTACTAACTAGTAATGCATCTATGATATCATTTATGAGCATATATAAAGATATATATGTAGTAAATCTTTGTACTCATTACTGACACTTTTAAATACATTCCTGTATAATTGCTATGCTAATGAACATGTCTTATGTTTTCATTATGACTGCTTTCCTTCTCTTAACAGATTGGATATCAGTAGTTCTTACAGAAGCACCTACAGTTAACTGCTCCTATGCCTTTCCAACGTCTCCCACAAGGCCTCAGTATTCCCAGATTCCCACTGTCTTTTCTTCCTCCTGGCTTCCGTGCAGCCCTCTGGACACACAAAATGCTGTCATTCCGAGAGCTTCTGGCAGAAGGGATGATGACAGTGGTCTGACCAACAAAACATAACCCTAAGAAGGGTCACAATGGAAAAAGTTGCACCTTGCAATTGTATTGTTCATTGTACATTTTATGTGTTTCCTCCTTGGTTTTCTCTGGATTGTAAAAGTCTTTGGAACCACCAGAGTTGCCTTTACCCTGGAAGAAACAGTTGCTTAGTGTGCGTGAATACATGGTAAGCATGTGGTTCTTTGGGCCTTGAGGCCAGGCTTTGGTCATCTGGTGGCTACAGCCCAACCTGCTCACATCTCGATTAGTTGTATCTGGGTAAAATAATGAATCATGACCACCTGATTCCTTTGGGTGGCAGTTTTCCTGATCAGGTTGATGTGAGTGTTATGAAACGTTTTTCATTTTTCCCAATCTAATAGTAATCATTCGGTACCTGAATATAATGGTGGTTTGCATTTCCCTCATGCATTAAAGGCAAATGTTTGCATCTTTCAGTAGCACTTTTACCTGGATTTCTTCCAATGCTTATTTTTATTGCTTGTCTTTGGGCCCACTTCATTGACTTATAACACCCACAAACAAATTCAGAAAATTATCACTTAGTAATATACAATTCTTTTTCAAGTTCATCAGTTCTGTCTTTTAAAAATACATAATTTTATCGTCATTATTAAGGAGTTGTACAGAGGGCTTATAATTCCATGAGTCAGGTAATGAGCACAATTCTTCTCAGATAATGTCACTCCTTCCTTCCCTCTCCTCTCCCCACCCCACAGGTTGCAAAGTTCATTCTTGGCATAGTGTCTACTGAATACTGTGACTGCATTGTTTCCTCTCCCTCCATTTCTGTGCTCCCTTTGGTCCCCCCTAAAAGGACAACAACAAAATTCAACACTGTCAAAAGCCATGCTTTTCTTTTCTGTGAAAAATACTTGATATACTTTTTAAATCTCTTTAACAAGCTCTGATTCTGCTCTGATTCCTCCCCACTTAAATTGAAGAAGCTGGGTCTTGGAGTGCTCGTGACTCTTGGCAGGACTGCAAGTCAGGAATGGTTTCCTCACCCGAGGCCACCCCCTCAGAGGGGGCTCCCCTCTCCCAGGGAAGTTTCTCAGGATCCTTATCATGCTGATAGAGGCTTGGCGCATACAGACACCAGCACATAGATAAGACACAGGGCTGTGGAAGGAGCTGCTCAGCTGAGAGATACCAACTTGACTTAGAGAACAAAGTCACTCTTTGTAATGGAGGGCTCTTCTCTTCTAACCTCTGTGCCATAATCTCCCTTAAAGAAGAAGTAACTAGGCGGGCCTTGTAATGGGGGTGCAGAAGTACAGCTCCAGGCACCCACTACGTCTCTGGCTGCACCAGCCTCCTTTGTGTGCTCAGGAGCCGATTTCTCTTCTCAGACATAGACTCTGCTATAAGGTGTGCTGACTTAGGTCATAGCTTTCAGAACTCATTTCTTCTGAAGCCCTGAAACCTGGAGCCATGCACGGGCCAGCCCTTCCCGCTCCTGTTTTGCACCATGGGCCAGTATATGGACAAGTCAAGAGAACTTCCAGCCACCATTTCCTAAGAACAATGAAGTCTGGTTTTTCAGCAATCATTGTACAAATGAATGATGACTGGTAAGTTCTTCACCACACATTTATGTAATGTGTACTCAACAGTCAGGTACCAGTAGCATCCCATCAAGTCCCAAAGGAGGAAGTTTGCAAAGTCCTAATATCAAAGAGAGTCCAGGAAATCAATACATTTGTGAGCAGTGGACTAATGTCTCTTTTTCACCATCTGCAATTATCAGGTTCTGGACTTGTATATAAATAATCCTGACAAGGGTAGAAGTTAGGATCCTACTTTTTAGAACAAGTAAGAAAGAATATAAGGCTGTGGTTAAGCATAAACGATTTGACCACAGCACAGTTGCTCAAGCTTTAGTGACTTTGAGTAAGACAATTAGCCTCTCTAAAGTTCCTTCTGAAAACCACAAAAAGTGGTTGAGAGCAGCTCCTTCCAGAGGTTATTGTCAAGCAAATTCAACTCATGATCCATTATGAAAATTATACTATAATTACAAAAACACTGAATATTCTTATGTATGTTGAAAATGCTACCTGCTTACAATATTTTTCCAATTAAGATGCCTACGAAGTCACACAAAGCTGTTTTCATTCCATAATAAGTGGGAAAATATTTTAGTATCTTATTTCATGTCAAGTTTTTTAAATATTTTACCCAAGAATTTTTAGCTCACTATTGTTAAAAGCATAGAAAACTTTCTATTGAAGAACCTCAAGCTTTTTAGGGCATCAGTATGTTCAGTACAGAAAAAAGAAGATCACAGTCCGTGCAGTTTTCCACAGCACTCTATGCAATTCAAATGGCAGTACAAGGGGATGAAGAAAGTTTCCTTGACAAACAGGATTTGGAGGGCGCCAAAGCAAATTCTAAGTACTGATGATGGTAGAAAGAAAGAAGGAAGACGGAAAAAACCCGCCGTGCAGTGGTTGCATAATGCTTCTTGTAAGAGAAGGTTGTTAGACTAGGGAATGGCGAGGGGGAGTGGGGGCTGCCTCTCGGGCTGGAGTGCAGTTCACACAACCTTCTTCTTTGTAAAGCTGGACACTTTACAAGGCATTAGACATCGTTCACAAAAACTGGGTTGGGAAGCAGATCTCAAACTTCGGAATCTAAGCTCTGAGCTTATACTCTTTCATCCACCTTCTTTGCCATAAAACAGATCCAGACGACAATACAGATGCCTTAGAACAAAAAATTGTGTGGTAGGAGTTAGTAAGCGTTTACTCGCTACATGGGATTTGTGGGATGTCTGTGGAGATTTTTCTTGTTTGTCCATAGTGTGGTGTTTTATGTCACCATCTGGTGCTCACAAAGACACTCATGATAAGCCGCAGTGAAGATGGGTAATGACACCGGGCTCAGGCCTAAGCCAGGTTGATGTGGACGATGTGATTTAATCCCCTGACTACCTCAAGCTGCAATAACTCAGTAATTCAACAGCACTGGTGCCAAATCCAATACACTTAGCCGCTCCCTTGTGTTCTCCCTTCCTCGGTTTGTAAGTGGACGGGCAGTTCTGTGATGTCTGGCCAAGGTCAACACTCACTTCCAGAAAGGCATCACTCACGATAGTGAAGCTATGGACCAGCCTGTGTGCTCCACAGCCAATGACTAGGTGAGGAAAATGTAGTGTATATGTGCAGCAGACTATATTTTAGACATTTTAAAAAGAAATGGTGTCATTTGCAGGAAATTGGATGCTCCAGTTTGATTATATCTGTCTCCTGGAATAAGGAAAACCAAACACACAATAATGTGTATAGTTTGCAACGAAGTAGACCATTTCCTGCAGGATTATTCATCCCCTTTTCTAAAGCACAGCAATGAACCCAGAGAGCACTGTGACCATCGACAAGAACAGTACAGCAAGACCCCCGGGAGAAGAGTGGACCTTCTGTGTCCACGGCCTCCCATCTGACGCGGGGGTGGCTGGCGCCTCACTGAGGGTCCCAGGACTTGCATCCAGGGTTCCAGGCTCTTAGGTATGCTGGGCTGGGAACCAAAATTCAGACCCCAAGGATAACAATGACCAGAAAAGGACCAGCTCATCCCTTAATGAAGGCTGGGAAGGTCCAAGGTGGGACCGGGGCAGGGCAGGCCGGACGCCCTCTGTGCCTCCTCTAACTCTGCTGACGCTGCATTTGGGTCACTGCTATCGCTCCTTTAGCATTGGTAAATTGGGGACAGGACTCCTCCCACCCTCATCTCAAGGCATCTGCATTACAC